GGAAGACAGATGTCAGTTGCAGGCAGAGCAGAAAGTTTCAGAGAGCAATGGGGTTAGTGGTTACCTGGAAGAACAGAGGATAAATGATGAGAGGATGTTGAGATGTTCCCTTGTTGCTGTGTTTAAAGTGTCATGCGCTGTAATGACACTTTGCGCAGGGCATGCCAGCCTGTCCCGTCGCCATGTTTAAATGTGAACTGTATTTTCCCTGGAGGTCACTTGCATCATTCACATATGTGAGTGTGTTTAATTAGGCTGATGGACGACATCTAGTGGTAAAATTGGTTATTGCTGTACCACAAGGTATAAATATCCTGATATACTACAGGGCGCCTATCCCTGAAGAAGCCCAAGGTCGTTGGGCGAAACATGCTGGACCGCACCTCCCTATGCATGCTTTGCGTGTGACATCATCACAGCTTGTAGCTGTCCCATCCGACCTCCATCACACGTCTGGGCACCCAGCACTTCTTGCCTTGTATACAGTATATTGGACTGGCTTCCACTACTGCTGATATGTACAGCTTATGAAAAATGGATCCTGACGCCATCTTGTGGTATAGTTATGGAACTATGTGTGGCTTTGCTGGAATTAAGCCCAGTAAATACCTAAGGGATGGTGAGATACTTGTGTATTTACACTGCTATTCATGAATCTGGTTACTTGGTAACTGTGTGTTAATGGAGTGGATGGTGGCTCGTTATATGGCCTTAACTGGCCAACTAATGGGACTTTCATATCCAGATTATGATCGACAAGCCTCACTTGCAAATGTAATTAGATTCTCAGGTGTCCTATTATTACTCATTATATATAGTTATGGGACAACCGGACTTCTACCTGACTCCTATCTCCACTATATGGGACACTACTGAATGACAATCATCCAACTCTTACATTCCATACATGGATTCTTGCCCCATATGTTCCCAAATTGCACCTTTAGCCTTTCTTGCCCCCTTCCCCTAAGTGTGTATATTGGAGGTTGTATGAGCAGCTGCTAAGGTGACGAAACAACGTCGTCTTTTTAGTTTGGTGAAGTTATGGTGGTGGTGTGCTCAACTTCTGTGTGTATACTTTTGCAATGCACATTTGTTTTGTTTTTTTCTAATAAAAGCCCTTTGATAAAGCTGCATGGTCCCACATGAAACTATCTTTGTTCGGGGAAACTTTTCCCTTTGCACATATGTATCGAGTATGAGTTTCGGTGACCACACCCATTAACTCCTAATTATGTTTTTCATGGGCGAGTCAGCAATCATATGATAGCCGATATTAATGCTGGGCGATTTTGAATTTAATCCCTTCTAGTCCTTTTACACTTTGGGGACATACACTATATTGCCAAAAGTACTAGGGTGCCTGCCTTTACACGCACATGAACTTTAATGGCATCCCAGTCTTAGTCCGTAGGGTTCAATATTGAGTTGGCCCACCCTTTGCAGCTATAACAGCTTCAACTCTTCTGAGAAGTCAGTCCACAAAGTTTAGGAGTGTGTCTATGGGAATGTTTGACCCTTCTTCCAGAAGCACATTTATGAAGTCAGGCACTGATGGCAGACAAGAAGGCCTGGCTCGCAGTCTCCGCTCTAATTCATCCCAAACGTATTATATATGTTGAGGTCAGGACTCTGTGCAGGCCAGTCCAGTTCCTCCACCCCAAACTCACTCATCCATGTATTTATGGTCTTTGCTTTCTGCACTGGAACAGGAAGGGGCCATTCCCAAACTGTTATAAATGAATCAGAATAACTTGCGAGCCACAGGTGTGATAATTTCTAGAGGATCGCAAACATGAAACACATAACTACAACTGTGTATGAAAATATCTACAAACATATGTTGCGCTCCTAAATATTTCGCAATAAATTATAATTAAATAAATGCCATTAAATTAATTCAAATTAAGATGCAATTAGCTAATAAGAGTGTATAAATACCAAAAAGATATTTAAATAAATTATTACAACTAATCAATCACCTCCAAATCAATTTCAAAATAATTCCACATGATGTACTCCTCTAAAAAAATTTTCCAAGTGCTCATTAATCATCAATTAGTGACATAATATACTTACTAATACCCTTAATTTCATTTAAATTCATAATAGCCTCATTTAATTTAATTAAAAAATGTAAACCAACTTACAACCCTCAACTAAATCACATTTAAATGATCCCCCATAAATAAAAATAACCAAATGCTCATAAATCATTAATTAGTGATTAATATAAATCCAAATATCATCAAAATAATAGTCCCATTGAATAAACAATTTTTTTATATAGTGACTTGGTGCTTGTTGTTCTTCAATTAGTGACTTTTGTGAATCCTTCAAATAGTGAAGATGTGCGCTCACCTCCTTTAATGCCTACAATTAGGATATACACGCTTTCGTTTCACTGTTCCTGGAACCTTCTAGACATATACTTTTGCTGGTAAAATAGGGAGATCCTTCCTTTAGGAGTAATGGATGTATCCTCTGATGGCTGATTATCCCCTCAGGGATTTACTCATTCCTTTTGTTATCCCAGACCTCCTAATTATCCTCTCCTTATGTTTCTCCGCATGCAAGAAGAAATTGAAGACACAGTGCTTTACCTTTTAAAACTTTTTATTCCCACCATCCAAGTATTAAACTCACATTGCACAGGTTTAAATATCGCAATATCGCATTGGAAATCCTCTGCTGGCCTCTGAGTCATACACCTGCCGTCTAGGGGGCTACGCCATCACTCGGAGAGGAGCCGCACAACACGATAGACGGCAGGTGTATGACTCAGAGGCCAGCAGAGGATTTCCAATGCGATATTGCGATATTTAAACCTGTGCAATGTGAGTTTAATACTTGGATGATGGGAATAAAAAGTTTTAAAAGGTAAAGCACTATGTCTTCAATTTCTTCTTGCATGCGGAGAAACATAAGGAGAGGATAATTAGGAGGTCTGGGATAACAAAAGGAGTGAGTAATCCCTGAGGGGATAATCAGCCACCAGAGGATACATCCATTACTCCTAAAGGAAGGATCTCCCTATTTTACCAGCAAAAGTATATGTCTAGCAGGTTCCAGGGAAAGTGAAACGAAAGCGTGTATAGCCTAATTGTAGGCATTAAAGGAGGTGAGCGCACATCTTCACTATTTGAAGGATTCACAAAAGTCACTAATTGAAGAACAAATACATGCAGGCTCCACCTTCGCAACATCGCCAAAATACGCTCCTTCCTTACCCCAGACACCACTAAACTACTCGTTCACTCCCTGATTATCTCACGCCTTGACTACTGCAACTCCCTCCTCATCGGCCTACCCCAGTGCAAACTCTCCCCGCTTCAGACCATCCTGAACTCAGCTGCCAGACTCATCCACCTCACCAGCCGCTCCACCTCTGCCACCCCCCTCTGCCTCTCCCTCCACTGGCTCCCCATTGCCCAACGCATTAAATTCAAACTGCTCACTCTGACCTATAAAGCCATTCACAACACTGCCCCTAACTACCTCACCGACCTGATTCCCAAGTACCACCCTACCCGTACCCTTCGCTCTTCACAGGACCTCCTCCTTCTATCTTGCTCCCTGGTCTCCTCCTCCCACGCACGACTGCAAGACTTCTCCAGGTCCTCCCCCATCCTCTGGAACTCACTACCCCAATCCATCAGACTGTCACCTTCCCTCCTCACCTTCAGGCGCTCCCTGAAAACCCACCTCTTCAGGGAAGCCTACCCCACCCTCACCTAACAGCCGCTGCCCTTCCCTCCTCCTACCACTCCATCTCCCACAGCCGTTTCCTCCTGTACCTCTACCCCCTCCCTCCTAGATTGTAAGCTCGAAAGAGTAGGGCCCTCTTACCCCTTGTGTGCTGTTTGATGTTACTGTACTGTTTCATGTATTGTCCCCCCTCTATTGTACAGCGCTGAGCAAACCCTTTGGCGCTATATAAACTCGATAAATAAATAAATAAATAAATAAGAACAACAAGCACCAAGTCACTATATAAAAAATTGTTTATTCAATGGGACTATTATTTTGATGATATTTGGATTTATATTAATCACTAATTAATGATTTATGAGCATTTGGTTATTTTTATTTATGGGGGATCATTTAAATGTGATTTAGTTGAGGGTTATAAGTTGGTTTACATTTTTTAATTAAATTAAATGGGGTATTATGAATTTAAATGAAATTAAGGGTATTAGTAAGTATATTATGTCACTAATTGATGATTAATGAGCACTTGGAAAAATCTTTTTAGAGGAGTACATCATGTGGAATTATTTTGAAATTGATTTGGAGGTGATTGATTAGTTGTAATAATTTATTTAAATATCTTTTTGGTATTTATACACTCTTATTAGCTAATTGCATCTTAATTTGAATTAATTTAATGGCATTTATTTAATTATAGTTTATTGAGAAATATTTAGGAGCGCAACATATGTTTGTAGACATTCCCAAACTGTTCCCACAAAGTTGGGAGCATGAAATTGTCCTAAATGTCTTGGTATGCCGACGCCTTAAGAGTTCCCTTCACTGAAACTAAGGGGCCAAGCCCAACCCCTGAAAGACAACCCAACACCATAATCCTCCCTCCACCAAACTTTACATTTGGCACAATGCAGTCAAACAAGTACTGTTCTCCTGGCAACCACCAAACCCAGACATGTCCATCCAGGGGCGGACTGACAGCTCATGGGGCCCCCGGGCAATAGGGGACCATGGGGCCCCTGTGTCCTCACCCACACATAAACCATACCCAAAAAAGCCTATGAAAGGTACCAGGAGCATCTCATGGGACCCCCACTGACCCCGGGCCCTCGGGCAGCGCCCGAGAGCCCCAATGGTCAATCCGTCCCTGCGTCAATCGGATTTCCAGACAGAGAAGTGTGATTTGTCACTCCATAGAACTCTAGAGTCCAGTGGTGTTGTGCTTTACACCAGCTACATCCGACGCTTTGCATTGCACTTGGTGCTGTAAGGCTTGGGATGCAGCTGCTCGGCATGAAGCTCTCTATGCACTGTTGTTGTGCTAATCTGAAGGCCACACAAAGTTTGCAGGTCTTTAGCTCAAATGCGCTTCTGGAAGAAGGGTCAAACATTCCCATAGACACACTCCTAAACCTTGTGGACTGACTTCTCAGAAGAGTTAAAGCTGTTCTAGCTGCAAAGAGGGGGCCAACTCAATCTTGAACATCTATGGACTAAGACTGAGATGCCATTAAAGTTCATGTGCGTGTAAAGGCAGGCACCCCAATACTTTTGGCAATATAGTGTATGTCTGAACCTAAAGTGTCAGAGGTAACGGGAGGCTTGCAAGGTCAGGTCAATACTCTGCAGACATTTGGCGACTTCTGCGCACTGTGCTCTTCAGCATGCACTCTGTCAATTTATGTGGTCTACTACTTCGTGGCTGAGTTGCTGTTGTTCCCAGTTGCTTCCACTTTATTATAATATCGCTAACAGTTGGCCATGGAATATTTAGTAGCAAGCAAATTTCACAGATGGACTTAATGCACAGATGGCAACCTATCACATTACTACGCTTGAATTCACTGAACTCCTGAAAGCGGCCCATTCTTTCACAAATGTTTGTAGAAGCAGTCTGCATGCCTAGGTACTTGATTTTATACACCTGTGGCCAAGGAGGTGATTGGAACACCTGAATCCAATGATTTGAAGGGGTGTCCAAATACTTTTGGCAATATAGTGTATTTCAACAATATAAAGTCACAATTCTTTAGTAACACCTCTATATTAGGATTGTTCAAAAGAGTAAACTACAGGAATAATGGATTTAGGATATACAACCCCAGATAACGTATAAAAGCAGAACACTGGTAAAATAGAAATAATCAATTTGCAATGTTTAACAGATTATACAATCAAGGGTAGTAAGCTTCAACTATTTAATTGCAACATCATCAGAAAGAGGGAGAAGAAAAGGCTTGCTGACTTATCAGCTCCCTCTGGCCCACAATGGGGAATACAGAGAATTATGTAAATGTATACTCTGGCACAAATAAATATAAGCATGCCAATTTGAAAAAGAAAAGAAGAGGTTCCTTTAACTAAAGATTGCAACTTGAGCTCTGTGATGTTTAAAGCTTCTGGTATGTTAGTAATTGTCTTCTGCTAGCAATGATGGGACCCACATTAGTGACTATTTCAAAGAAGTTAACAGGCTGTGGTACTACTCAAAGCAAAGATCTCATGATACTGAGGCGTAAAGGTATCTGCATGCAGGGTCTCTAGAGTAATGACAGATTGAGGCTGAGCTTCCGCTCGCTCACCAATCTCAGGGATAGCACGGCCTGCTAAGAACAGAATTCTTTCACATGCTCTTGGCTGTTTCTAGGGATGCGCAGAGTTACCGACCCGCCTGATGGCCTGTCAGCGCAGCAAGCAGAGATGTGAAAGCACGGATAGTGACAGTCCCAATGCAGAGAAGCTCCTGTGATCCCAGTGTGGCAATCGCCATCATCGCTGTGCTGAACTGATGTGCAGAGTCCTGAAGCAGTAAGACAGCAATCTGTCTCTGGAGGGGAACAGCAGTCCCCCCCCCCCCCCCGTGTTCAGCACTCAATCCCGCACCAAGAGAATAAGCTAATCCCTCGCTGTAGAATATATAGGCTTTCTCAGCATCCCTCCCATCTATCAGCTCTTTGGTAGTTGTAGTCCAATCGGCACTCAGGAACACAGTATGTATTAGACTAAAGGTCCCAAGACCTTTGGCTGTAGAATAACTGTATCCACTCTGCTAACAGGAAGTGACATAGCAGTCCCAGTACTGGGCATCAAGAGTAATAGGATTAATTATAGTCCCATCTGTAATTGTCCTTGATGGCATAAAGATATAGCCGATACCTGGCTACATCCTCCCCCCCACTTGAAATCTTTGTCGCCAAAGAGGTAGTGAAACCCATTGTAATACAAATGATAAATTTGATCATTAACTGTAAGCGAGAAATCAACCATAACTCATATTTACAAGTAATTTACAAATATCAGCAGATGAATTTACAAATATCAGGGTTCATCTGTAACCATTTACATAACTCTCCAGTTGAGGTGTGATTACTTTGATGCCAGACCAGTAAAATGGCAGTGGCCCACCTAGCAGTATCAGAGTTTTCTCCCAGTCTCTTGGGTGGGTTGATGTTCTGTCTTAGCCTGGAACTCATAGAGTTTTCAGGTGTGAGCTCAAACCTGATTCATTAGCGCATAGGCTCCTACTCCAAAGTTGCTGGCTCATGGACTCCTTCACAGATGCCTTGACAGGGCTCAGTCTCCCATGTCTCCAGCTCACAATAAAGACCAGCAGTAACTGAATGAGGTTCAAACTCGAAATCATTATCAACTTTGAGCCTTGATATCTGGCCTTCATCACTAGGGTCAGTCTTTTGTGGCCCCTTTTTAATGAGTGGACTAGTTGTTTCAGTTTTAACTTTAGGCATGTACACATGTGCGGGGCAAATTTCCACTCCTGGCTGTTAGGCTTTTCCTCCTGTTTTCCCAAGTGAGGGAGAGGTGTCCTTATTCTCTTGTGGTCACAAACAATCAGGCACCATCTCTTCATCATTTTCATCCTCTTCCTTTGAAGGCTAGTTTGACATTGCTGGCGTGGTTCAGAGTCAGGAGACTGAGGTATGAATACCTCATGATGGCATATGAAATGGGGAGCAAGTGATTTTGGTGCCACATTTTCAGCTGGCCTATTTTCTTTTTGGGCAGATTTAATATACTGGCAGCCCGGGGGGGGGGTTGCTTGCAAATGATATATGGTTGGGATCGCCAGCGATCATCAAACTTTTGTTTCCTGGGTACTTCCAAGTTTCTCAACAGCACACAATCCCCCCGGATGAAGGTCTTGTACGGTCACCTTGAGGTTAAAGTTCCTTTTATTTCTTTGCTCTCATGTGGCTGCAGTCTCTCTCGTATTCTCATAGGCTTGCTTAAAAAATTTTTTTGTAGTCAGTTAACATACTCCTTGTATGAAGTCAGGGATATGTGATATGTGGAGGTTCCAAAAGCTAAGTCAACCGGTAGTCGGTCTTCTTTCCCAAACATTAATCTGTAGGAGGAATTCCCTCCTACAGATTAATTCCCAGCATCATTAGTCATGCTGTTATAGACATGAACTACAGCTGCAATTTGATTTCCCCATAGCTGTTTCTTCTCTGAGTGCTAAGTTACTAGCACATCTAAACAAAGTGTGGTTGAACCATTCAGGTTGAGTATCCTCCTGTGGATGATATGGTGAAGATCATTATTTTTTTTTTTTTACCCAGCAGTTCACATAATCTGTGAACAAGTTTGCTCCCAAAGTCCCTACCCTGGACAAAATGTGTTCATTGCAGCAGACCATAATGAAAAAAAAAAATTTCCACCAGTATTTTCACCTTAGTGGGGAAGGCTTAAGCATGCTGAGTAAAGTGGTTGGTTACCACCAGAACATTGCTTCTCCCACTGGCATCAGGTTCCAGGCACAGAAAGTCAATGTACACCAACTCCATAGGCCCTTGGCTTTGTAAGTGCCCATTAGAAGGGCTGGGACTAGGGGTGGTCTGAAGGGGAGGTGTGTTACCATGTGAGGGGGTTGACCCTATGAAGCATTGCCACTGCTACAATCTAACAGGTTCGCGCTGTACTCTCTCTCCCCTCCAGGTTCTTCCTCCTGTCACTACCGTTCTCCTCGATTGGGACTGTCACATCGGACTGAGTAGGGTTTGCCTACCCACCCCCTAACCAAATTTTTTGCTGGGAGGAGATGGGGCCAGGTAAGCAAACCCTGCTCAGTCTGATGTGACAGTCCCAATCGAAGAGTGCGGCAGTGACAGGAGGAAGAACCGGAAGGGGAGATAGAGCATGGTGCGATCTGACAGCTACTGCAATCTCTACTGTGAGTCTCTGCGACCGCTATCCCATACCCACGCACCTCTCCCTGCCGGTTGACTGTCAAAAGTTAAAAGCAGCTTCCCATCACAGGCTCCTCCTCTTCTTGACACCTCACAGTTCAGGAGGAGCCTGGGAGGGAGAACATCCCACAGGCATCTGCAGCAGCATTGAGAGGGTGAGGGGAAATTTAACTGGGTGGGGGGAGGGGGAGTGGGTAGTATATATTTGTGCTGGAGAGGACAGTATTTGTGCTAGCCTTGTCCTAGGAGGGGGAGGGAGGACTGAATTAATGGTAGGAGGAGGGGTTTGGTAGGAGGGGGGACGGGGGGGATTTGTGCTAGGAGAGGGGGATTGGTGAAGAGGATTTATACATTGAGAGGAGGGGGGGGTAAGAATTGTCCTAGAAGGAAAAAAAAAAAACTTAAGAGGAGGATTTGTGCTGTGGGGAGATTGGGGGGTCAGAGCTAAGAGAGGAGATTTGTGCTGGGAGGTGGGCTTTTTGGGGGGGGGTGTTGTGCTAGAAGGGGTGATTTGGGAAGGGAGCATTTGTGCTAGGGGGAGAATTTTGGGGGGGAGATACAGTTGTGACCAAAATTATTCAACCCCCAATGCTGTAAAGGGGTTTAGGGACTATAGTGTACATTTGGAATTGTATTCAGAATCAAATCCTACAAGGACGTTGTAACTACCCAAATGCAACTAAAATGACATCAATTGTTTATGTAATACAGTAGTAAATGGTTCTTATGTGGTTTCTTCATTGCCACAATTATTCAACCCCTTAAAGACTACCACTCTGAAGAACAGAGGTTCATACAGGTGCTTTCCATCAGGTATTGAAAACACCTGTGGATGTCACCGAGCAGCAATCAAGCATAATAAGCACCAATTAGGCAGCTTTAAAATGACTGTGATACTCAGCTCCTTCTAGACATTTACTGGTGTGGTTACAAACATGGTGAAGGCAAGAGAATGGTCCAGGAAGACAAGAGAAGAGGTGATTTCTCTTCACAGGAAGGGCAATGGCTATAAGAAGATTGCAAAGATGTTAAACATACCAAGAGACACCTTAGGAAGCATCATTCGCAAATTCAAGGCAAAGGGCACTGTTGAAACGCTACCTGGTCGTGGCAGAAAGAAGATGCTGACTTCGACTGCTGTGCGCTACCTGAAGCGTAGAGTGGAGAGAAGTCCCCGTGTGACTGCTGAGGAACTGAGAAAAGATTTGTCAGATGTGGGTACAGAAGTTTCAGCCCAGACAATAAGACGCACACTGCGTAATGAAGGCCTCCGTGCCAGAACTCCCAGGCGTACCCCCTTGCTGTCTCCAAAGAATAAGAAGAGTCGACTGCAGTATGCCAAAAGCCATGTGGACAAACCACAAAAGTTGTGGGATAGTGTTCTGTGGACTGATGAAAACAAAATTAGAACTGTTGGGCCCATGGATCAACGCTATGTTTGGAGGAGGAAGAACAAAGGCCTATGATGAAAAGAACACCTTGCCTACTGTGAAGCATGGTGGAGGGTCAATCATGCTTTGGGGCTGTTTTGCTTCTGCAGGTACAGGGAAGCTTCAGCGTGTGCAAGGTACCATGAATTCTCTTCAGTACCAGGAGATATTGGATGGAAACGTGATGCAGTCCGTCACACACCTGAGGCTTGGGAGACGTTGGACCTTTCAACAGGACAATGATCCCAAGCATACCTCCAAGTCCACTAGAGCATGGTTGCAGAGGAAAGGCTGGAACATTTTGGAGTGGCCCATCGCAGTCACCAGACTTAAATCCGATTGAGAACCTCTGGTGGGACTTAAAGAAAGCAGTT